GCTACCAGGCTGCGGCCCAAAGGTTGAGGACCCCTGGTGTAGAGTACCTTGGCTGGTCTCAGAAAAGGAAGGGAAATCACCACGTTCTAGGTTAGACCAAAAAATTGAAAATATATCCCAGAAGACAATGACAAAAACACTTTCTTGTTGCCAAAGATCTTACACCATGGTTATAAGCCAAGGTTTATATCCTAGTACTTTGTCTGAGTTCAACATAGTGGCTTCCTGAAAAAGAACATAATTTAATATCCTATATGAACCCAGTCATTAATATGAATCAATTCTCGGGTTACCTAGGAGTACCTGGAGATGTTGCATTTGCACCTGAGCAAATTGTGATCTAGGCAAACCCTGATTATCAGCTCTTTCCAACATATTAACTTTATTAAGCTCCCAGATCCCCTTGAGGAAGGCACACCCTGATGATAAGAAGCTCTTTTCAACATATTAACTTTATTAAGATTCCAGCTTGAGGAATTTTCATTAAATGCTGGAGTGTCAGAGCCATATTTTGCTTTTTTAAAATGGTATATCATCTCTTACTCCTAGGGCAAACTATTATTTTGTCCACGTTTCTCAGATATGAATTTGCTGGTGGCAACCTCTCTTTACTGTAATCTGGATCTTGTTTATAAAATAAAGTAGGAAGAGTTTACCTAAATCTTTATAAGGTTCATGCAAACAGGTGAAGTTGGAACTGATTGGTTGGACTTTTTTAGTCCCACTTCTTTTGTTTGTGGGATTCCCCACAAACTTCTTTTCTTTTTGGGACTGCACGCAGCGGCGGAGGAAGAGACAGTGGACCTGGAAAGAAGGTACCGCGTGAGTCCGATCGGGGTATGTGTGTGGGGGGGGGGTTCTGCCAAGCATCTTATACAAAGCTGGGGAAATGGGCTGAGTGGGGGGGAGGAGCCAATGCCACTGCCATGAGGCTTTTCAGAGCCCAAGTGGCCATGATCCCCCCCGATGAGCCAGCCAGCCACTATCGCTGACCTTCTCCTCATGATCACCCCTCCCCAGCCAGCCACCATCGCCGACCTTTCTGCTTTCTTCAACTTGGACGGAGTAGAGTCACCCAAGCCGCTGGCAGCCGATTGAGTGCAGAGGACGAGGAGGAGAAGAGCGTGAGGCCAGCCGGCCAGGTGAGGAGTAGGTTGGCGATGGTGGCTGGCTGGCTGGGGAGGGTGCGCTCATGAGGAGAAGATCAGTGATGGTGGGTGGTTGACTGGGGAGGGGGGATCATATTGGCGATGGTGGCTGGCTGGTTGGGGAGGGGTGATTATGGTTGAAGAAAATGGAGGTGCAGTAGCGGGATTGCTCGCCTTATTGAGAGCAAAAAAACTGCATGAGAAGTGATAAATGAAGGATTATTGGACTTACAAAGTATTTTTTTATATTTTGAAAGATTTTTGTTTTGAAACAGATGAACAGCAAGCTAGTTTTTTGTTTGTTTTTTTGAAGCAGTTAATCACTATCTTTAAAAATGTGGCTTATTTTATCAGAGCTAAATGATATATTGGAGAGAGAGAGAGAAAGAGAGAGAGAGAGAGAAAATATATGTGGTTGTCCTTACTAGACTTTTAATAAAGAACGTTTAATAAAATATTTTGATGTTTTTTTAATTAAGAGATTAGGTATGGGGATAATTATGCTGTATTTAAAGATGGTAGATAAGCTACTAAAATTGTTTTTACCTGTTGGGAAGAAGGAGAAAGGAGGGAAAAGTGGCAGCAGGGCGCTCCGCTGTGGTGGAGTGCTGGGGGAGGGAGCAGCAGGGTTTTGAGGCTCCCGGTGTTTGTTTTTTTTCTGTGGGAAACGGGTCCAAATGGCTCTTTGAGTGTTTAAGGTTGCCGACCCCTGCACTAGTGAGAAGACACTTGGAATACTGTGTCTAGTTCTAATTGCCATGATACAAAAAAGATGCTGAGACCTTAGAAAGAATGCAAACAAGAGCAACCAAGATGATAAGGCTAAACTGTATAATAAACAATTAAGGAAACTAAGCCTTAACTAATTGAGAATGTTCAGTCTAACAAAGAGAATACAGGTAAGAGTACCCTCTCTGAGTCAGGAGACCATGTTAGAGCACTGTACAAGGGGTATTTGCAGATGACTGTGAGCACTTCCTAAAATACACAGCAAATGTGGGTATTGTACGAGCAACTGCAGGACTCCAGGATGCTTGAGATCTGCGGCAGACTGAAAGCTGACTTCTCCCCATTTCCTTTAGTTGCCCAAACTTTTGACATATTTTTTGATTGAGAGATTTAAAAGACATGCAGGCAGGCACACCACAATCTTAAGCTCACACTGTGACTTTCACTGTGAGAGTCTGAGATAGGATCCTGAGGAAGAAAACAGCTTACCTGCTATCGCTGCCACTGTCCTCCAAGTCTGGGCTAAAGGATAAGAATGCTTCTCTTACATGAGGTGCGGCTTAGAACGCTCCACGTGTATATGAGGGCCAATTGCTAGAAGCTATGCCCTTGCACACTGGGATGGTGCTACCATTATTATTACATCCTTTTTAATCAAACATAATGAATTCCAATATATTCTATATATTACTATGTAAGTCATAAGTCACTAAATGTTTGCTGTATGTCATACATTAAGATCAACTGATGCTTTAGGTATAGAAGTTAAGACACCCTCCCATTGTCTAGGCCAGGGGTAGGCAACCTTGGCTCTTTTATGACTCATGGACTTCAACTCCTAGAATTCCTGAGCCAGCATGACTCAGCTTAGAAACCTCTCCCTTTTTCCTCAGCGTGGCTGGCTGAGGAATTCTGGGAGTTGAAGTCATAAAAGAGCCAAGGTTGCCTACCCTTGGTCTAGGCAATTCAGTATAGAAACCTCTAATTCTTTATTCCACTTATCTCTTAACACTTGCATATCAAATTGCTTTATATCTATATAGAAACCTATGTGTTTCTTTAAAGATAGGCTTTAAAAGATTTAACCAGTCCTAGTATACCAGGTATCTGCTCTGAAAATGTTGCTGGTCCAAATAGTATGCTTAACAAATATTGTAGCTATAAATATTGCCACTAAGTTACATCTGATAGATATTTGTCACTTTGCACACCATAAGTTAAACATTCATCCTTGTTGTGTATCAATTGATCAAATGTCAATATACCCATTTTCATCTCATTTTTCAGTATCAGCATCTTTTTTCCCAATTTTTAATGTTGGGAGTTTCCCACAAGCTCTTTTTTATCAGTGATTTGAACTATTTACAAAGTGAACATTTTACCAAATATGGGAAAAATAAAGCAACTGAAAACACCATGTGAATAACTTTAGCTCTTCTGCACTGCTGCCAGGAAGAATAAACATACGTGTTTTCAAAGTTGATCTGAACAATGGGAGTCTTTTGCAAAGCTATGCCCATGAAATCTGCCTAGAACATTATGAGATTACCAGGAACTCCCAGAGCTGTAGGCAAGATTACTAAATTGAACCACATCCTTACAAACAGCTGTCATGAAAACAACATGTTTGTATACAGGAAGAATCAAGTTTCACTTGGTAAGATTTTTTTTTAGTTCAATTCCATCAACTCGCACCCAATCTTGGTGATTAAATGGACAAATGGTTACTATCTTGGCTTGTTCTTTTCCGGTCTTCAGCTCTTCCAAGAGCATTTGATTTCTCTGGTTCAACAAATCCAGATTTCCACTTTTCTCAACTTCTTAGGCATTTTTCTACTCTGTCAGTTGCTTGCACGTGTGTCCAAAGTATAAGTTTCTACTTGCTGATTGTTGCTTCAAGAGAGCAATCTCTCTCTTAGTCATGAAAGTCAGATGGGTGGCTTACAGCCAGCCCCCCTATCAACTCAATCTACCTCACAGGTGGTTTTTGTGGGGGAAAAGAGGAAGCAGAAGTTCAGTATGTTCACCACCTTGAGTTGAAATATGATAAAACAATAGTAACAATAATGTAACCTGGAGCCCCCCACCAATCCCGCTACCATCACTTTGTTCCTATTTGTCTTAGTTTACTTCAATAGCTGGTCATACACATTCCATCTTTTATGTTATCAAAGCCAATGGAAGAAGTTTGAAGCAAAAGAGGAGACAGAAGAAGGAACTGATAATTAATATGTCAAGCCCCTGGGCTTGCCATGGGCCGGGAGATGGGGAGCATGCAGCCAGATGCCGCAGGTGCCATCCTCAGAGGAGACAGAAGCCAGGAACACTCCTCCTACCAGCTGGACGAGGGACGAGATAAGCAGGATGAGGGAGGGATTGTGCCTTACCTTGGCTGCGGCTCCCTTCCTCCAGCTGCCTCGTTAACAGAACAAATGGCTGGGAGGCAGAGGCTCCGTGGGTGTGTCTGGAGGGGGGGGGAAGGGTGGTGCACTACGCCTGTTATCCATACGGACCAGATGCTGGCTTGCTAAGTGGGGTGAGGTTGGTGGGTGGAGCACAACTATGTAAAGCCATGGGAGCAATTCACTCCCAGTGCTGACTTTTCTTTTGCATTAAAGTTTGCTGGTCACCTGTTCCTTCTGTGTTTGGAGTTTATCAGCAGCTGGCAAAGGACAGCTGACAGTGAGTCAGCACTCCCTTTATTTCCTGTTCCCTTCTTCTTGCCTGTTGCTGTGGACTGTGACTACGATGGCAGAGGGTAAACAGGAGGTTCCTACTGGGACAGTTGAGGCCGATCTGGCTGGAGTAACAGGGCCTGAGTCTGAGGCCTGGGAGGTGCAGCCAGTAGTCAGGCCTAAGGCAATGGAACCATGACCTGCAGCCCATACAGGTGAGACCCAGGGCCCTGGGATTGCTGCAGTGTCTGGGGAATGGTGGCACAGCCCTGCATTGGCCAATGTGGAGCTTGGACGGGTGACAACGCCAGGACCTAGGGCATCTTTGATGGACTGGCAGGAGAGACGGCTGACGGGGGAAGATGAGGATGAATGGAGCTATTCCACCACTCCTGGCCAAGACACCATGGATGTATTGAGGGACTGGTTCGGGGAGGTAGGATATCAGGACACCTCCTCCTGGCCACAACGGGCGACTACGAGAGAAGAAGCCCCATGGCATCGACCGGAGGCGCCATCCAGACATCCTGACTCAGGCTGGTTCCGGTTGGCCAGTCCGCGGCTGCGACGGCCTCCTGCTCCAGAGGTATCCATGGTAGGAGGGTCTTCTTTGGCTGCACCGCAGGTCCAGGGTCAGCCTGCGTGGATGAATCAGTCAGCCCCTGGGTTGTGGGGGTTGCCTGCTGGAAGGGTTCCGGCTAGTGGGATGTGGGTTCTGGTGTCCAGGTCCAGCCGCCTACAGCTGACACTTGCATGGCCCAACCCAACCTATAGGACCCTGGGGTCAGGGCCTGATGTGAGGTCCACCACCCATACCAGTCACGTTCGACGGGCATCCGGATCGCCTGGCAATGTTCTTAAGCCATGTGATCAGCCACCTGGATCGATATGCTCAACACTATCCATCCCAATGGGCCATGGTGATGGCGGTGTCCGCAGGGCTGCAGGGTGAGGCAGCGGCATGGGCAGCGGACCTGTACAGTGATCATGCTCGGGAGCTGGCTAACACTGGGTTGTTCCTGGATGCATTGCGTGCCCACTTTGAAGACATCACCCGGGCTCAGCATGCGGAGGCGGAGTTGCTGGCACTGAGGCAACATGGTCGTCGTGCAACTGACTACGTCCGTGAGTTCCGCAGGGTTGCAGGGAGACTGCGGTCTTGGCCTGAACGCTTGCTTGTCCATCAATTCCGGGCAGGTCTGGACCGAGAGCTGCATCAGGCTTGCGTGCTCCGAGGGGTACCCAGTCGTCTCCAGGACTGGTTCCGGGTTGTTATAGATCTGGACACAGGTCTCCAGGAGTTCTGGGGCAAGGGAGAGGAACCGCTCATACCAGGAAGACCACTGGCAAAGCTATGGGAGGAGGGGAGACGGGGTCCACCCGCAGATGTGGGCTCTTCTGCCCCTTCTGCCAGGGTGCCATTCCGCTGTTTCCGGTGTAACCAGCCGGGTCACAGAGCAGCGGACTGTCCAGCCCCGAGTCCACAGGCTCCTTCCTCGGCTCCTGGAAAACCCACTCCGAGGGCCAACAAAACGCCTGACACATCGAGGGCGGCACAACAGCCAGAGGCAGGTACATCCCAGCAGTCGGTCCCAAAGGAGGAGGAGGAGGAGGCCACAGCAGCCACAAGATATCGGCTGGTAGCTGATGACAGTGATGACGACATAGCCAATGATCCTATGGTAAGCGAGCCCATAGTGCCCTTGGTTCTCCCTGTGACACTGGCAAACCCGCAAATGGGCCAACGGAGGGCCTACCAGGCCCTTATCGATTCAGGGTGCACCCGGTGTTTGATAAGCAAAAGGGTGGTTGCAGAGAGTGGGATCAGAGTGCAGCGACTAGCTCACCCCATTTGGTTTGAGCAAGTGGACGGGTCTCTCTTGGGAGGGGCGCCAGCTAACCTCATAACAGAACCTGTCCGACTGGACATGGGATCCCATTGGGAGGTTCTCCGTTTCATAGTCGTCCCGTCTATGACTTAGGCGGTGATTTTAGGTTTGGCATGGCTGGACAAGTGGGGTCCTACGATATGGTGGGAAGGGGGTTACTGAAGGCTATGCATCGCGGTGGGTCCCCAGGCCCCTAATCAGGATTTTGGGGAAAAGGGGGCAGGATGCGAGGAAAAGGTCGGGTTGACGGAATCCAGGGAAGAAGCCCCCTTTCCAGAGGTCTACAGTGATCTAGCTGAGGTCTTCAGCGAGCAAGAGTGCAACATTCTGCCACCTCACCGCGCTACTGACTGCGCGATTGATATCCTGCCAGGAGCTAAATTGCCCAAAACCCAGATGTATGCCATGACGCCCAGGGAGCTGGAGGAGCTACGATGTTACATCAACCAGAACCTGGCCCGGGGGCTCATCCAACCACCTCGGTCACGAGTGGCCACCCCAGTCTTATTCAAGGAGAAAAAGGACGGTTCCTTACGGCTCTGTGTGGACTTCCGCAGGATTAATGCGGTGTGTGTGGACCATTTATACCCACTTCCATTGATGAAGGACCTCTTGGCCCATCTGGGGCGTGTATTCAGGAAGCTGGACCTGCGTGAGGCTTATTACAGAGTCCGGATAAAGAGTGGGGACGAGTGGAAGATGGCGTTTAACTGTCCGCTTGGCAGCTACCAATTCCATGTGATGCCTTTTGGCCTGCAGGGGGCCCCCACGGTGTTTATGCAACTCATCAACCAGGTGTTGCACAAGTACTTGTACCGCGGGGTCCTTGTGTATTTGGACGATATCCTAATATATACAACCACACTGGAGGAACACGTCCACCTAGTTAGGCAGGTACTGAGGAAACTGTTGGATGCTTGCCTCTTTGTGAAACTCTCTAAGTGCGAGTTTCACCGGGCTCGGCTGGACTACCTGGGTTACAGGATCTCAGGGGATGGTGTGGAGATGGACCCACACAAAGTGAGGGCAGTGTTGGAGTGACAGGCACCCCGCCCTCGTCGCCAGCTACAAAGCTTCCTGGGCTTCGCCAATTTTTACCGGCAATTTATTCCATCGTTTGCCGCGGTAGCCCTTCGCCTAACTAACTTGTTACGTACGAAGCACACTGCGAGTAAGCCACGACCTGGACAACTGCTGGAGTGGACGATGGCCTGTCAGAAAGCGTTTGAGGACCTGAAAGCCCTGTTTGCCAAGGAACCGGTCCTACTCCACCCTGATCCTGAAAGTCCTTTCGTAGTCCAGGCTGACACCAGTGACATAGCTGTGGGGGCTGTGTTGTTGCAAAAGAACAGCCAAGGCATGCTGCAGCCATATACATACACGTCGCAGAAATTTTTAGCTGCTGAGAGGGCATGGGCGATTTGGGAGAAGGAGGCCTTTGCGGTACGATGGGCTCTTTCAACATGGAGACATCTGCTGGAGGAGGCAACCAAGCCATTTGAGGTGTGGACTAACCACAAGAACCTTGAGGTTTTGCAAACGCCGGGACGCCTATCGCCTAAGCACGTCCAATGGGCCCAATACTTCTGCAGGTTTCCGTTCACTCTGAAGTATGTGTGGGAGGGAGGAACTTCCTGGCCGATGCATTATCTTGCATGCCCCAATACCACAGCAAGCGGGAGGAGGTTGTACAGGTGATTATTCCGCCTTACCAACAGGGGGTCGCTCGAGCGGTTCCACGTCAGTTGGCGGGTGACTTGACCCAACAGCTACTAATGGCCGTTAAGAATGATCCCTGGTTGAAGGACCATCCCGGCATCTTGACACAAAGGGATGGTTTAGCATGGAAAGGCAATAAACTGTACGTACCAGAGTTACTGAGGCACTTGGTTCTCAAGCGGTGCCACGACGCCAAATAGGCAGGCCATTTCGGCTTCCTAAAAACATTACATCTCGAATGGCGTGAATTCTGGTGGCCCCGGATTAAAGTGGATGTAGAGGCCTATGTTAGAAGTTGCCATGTCTGTGCTATGGCCAAGCCCCATACTGGAAAGCCTTTGGGTTTATTACAGACAGTAGCAGATCCAGCCCGACCCTGGGAGGATATAGCCATGGATTTCATTGTAGATTTACCAGAGAACTTAGGGTACACAGTTATTTGGACCGTAATCGACCTGTTTTCCAAACAGGCCCATTTTGTTCCTTGTAAGGGGCTACCGTCTGCTCGGCGTTTGGTCAGGTTATTTATTGACCATATCTACCAGGCCCATGGTGTTCCTCGGCGTATTAGATTGGGGGGTGCAGTTTACCGCACAGTTCTGGAGGGATTTCGTTAAATACATAGGATCATCCCAGGGCCTCAGCTCAGCATACCACCCCAGCACCAATGGAGCAGCTGAGCGAGCGAATGCCATGGTAGAGCGCTACCTATGCTGTTACGTGTCATACCAACAAACAGACTGGGTAGACCTGCTCCCATTCGCCGAAGTGGCCTACAACAACACTGTGCATAACAGCACAGGATTCACTCCTTTTCAGGTGGTGCATGGGGTGGATTTTGTTCCGAACCCTGAGTGGCCCCAGGGGGTCCCCTTGCCGTGTACACCCCAGGATTGGATGACACGAGTGGAAGGTCTGTGGGCTAAGGTTAAGGAAGCATTGGCCAAAGCGGGGGCGGCCACAAAGGCACAAGCCGATAAAAAAAGGGCTGAGCACAGGCCCTTTCAGGTGGGTGATTGAGTATACCTCTCCACCAAATACCTACATTCGAGGGTGCCCTGTAAGAAGCTGGGTCCCAAGTATGTAGGTCCCTTCAAGGTGCTTCAGGTTATAAACCCGGTAACCGTACGGTTACGGCTGCCTCAGGTCTTTGGAAAAGTGCACCCTGTATTTCATGAGAGCCTGCTGAAGCCAGTAACGAGTCCCCCCAGGGGCCTGGCGGCCCAACCATCAGGCCCGGTTTCAGCGACCAGTTCGAGATACAAGAAATTCTGGACTCCCAGAGCCGTCGTGGACAAGTCCACTACTTGGTGAGATGGAAAGGGTACCCTCTGTCGGAGGCGTCGTGGGTGCAGAAGGAAGACATCCATGCTCTGCAATTGGTGTGGGTCATCGCCAGCACCCTGGAAAACCGGGGGGAGGGGCCACGGAAGGGACTAATCAAATTGTCGCATGCTCACCTGTCTCTGTTTGCCTTCCAGAAGGAGCCCTGGTAGAGGGGACCGCCTGTCAAGCCCCTGGGCTTGCCATGGGCCGGGAGATGGGGAGCATGCAACCAGACGCCACAGGTGCCGTCCTCAGAGGAGACAGAAGCCAGGAACACTCCTCCTACCAGCTGGACAAGGGACTAGATAAGCAAGAGGAGGGAGGGATTGTGCCTTACCTTGGCTGCAGCTCCCTTCCTCCAGCTGCCTCGTTAACAGAATAAATGGCTGGGAGGCAGAGGCTCCGTGGGTGTGTCTGGAGGGGGGGAGGGTGGTGCACTACACCTGCTATCCATACGGACCAGATGCTGGCTTGCTAAGTGGGATGAGGTTGGTGGGTGGAGCACAACTATATAAAGCCATGGGAGCAATTCACTCCCAGTGCTGACTTTTCTTTTGCATTAAAGTTTGCTGGTCACCTGTTCCTTCTGTGTTTGGAGTTTATCAGCAGCTGGCAGAGGACAGTTGACATAATACTCCTGAAAGGAAGAATTACCTCATCACTCGAATTCCAGCATGTCAACTTTGCCCAGTCTTGAGTTTGTGACACGCCAAGGTCCAAGAGAAAGAACTCCAAGGGCGAAAAGTCAACAGAGGATGCTCCATCCCTACAAATAATCTCTCAAGTCCTTCAATGTCTCAGAGCAACCTATTCCCCCCACATCCTCCTGGGGGGAAGGGTCTATAACAACTTGCCATGGTCGACTTGCCACAGCCAACTTACTGAAGGACAACTCGCCAAGGCCAGCTCGCCACGGGATAAGAGTTACACTAATATCAGAGAAATAATCTCACAGAATCATGAAAGAAAGGGTGACAAAGCAGGGACAAAATAAAATCTGAATGGCAAAAATTAAAATATTTTTTAAATGATTTTAAATAATTAAATTGAACTGTTGAACTGTCCCGCAGCGAACTACCCTGTGGCAAACTGGCTGTGGTGAACTGACCATAGCAAATTGGCTGTGGAGAGCTGTCCCATTCTGTCTTCCTGGTGCCCCCACAAGGCCTTCCCGGGCAAAATGGGACAACTTGCCACAGCCAATTTACTGTGGCCAACTCGCCATGGCCAACTCACCTTGGGACAAGTTAACAATTCTATTTAATTATTTAAACTAAATAAAATAATAATAATTTTTGCCATTGACGTTTCATGCTGTCCCTCCTTCGGCATCCTTTTTTTAATGATTCTATTCCACTCTTTCTTCAATATTAATGTAACCCTTGTCCTGCAGCGAGTTGGCCACGGCAAATTGTCATAGACCCCCCCCCATCCCACTAGGGCAGCGCTTCTCAACCTTGACAATTTTAAGGCATGTGGACTTCAACTCCCAATTCTGGGAGTTGAAGTCCACATGCCTTAAAATTGTCAAGGTTGAGAAACACTGCACTAGGGGCTTGTTCCAGGACGCGCCCACACCGCGCTTGCGCCCGGAGCGACGTCACGCTTTTGGGGGCCGCGGAACCTCCGTTGCCGGCAAGCCTTTTCTTGCGTTTTTGCGGAAGGTTTTAAACGAGGAAATAGAGCTGCCGCAGAGCAAGCGCCGTGGCTCTTCCGATGCGCTTGCGCGGGGTCGACATGGCCGTGCGGGCGGCTGCTCGGCGCTGGCTCAGCCGGGAGCCGTTCACTCGGCCGCCCGGAGGTGAGGCGGGAGGCGGCGTGCAGCAGCTGTTGCAAAACGCGACAGTCGAGGTGGAGGAGAAGAAGCGGAAGGTGCAGCCCGCCCCCGAGGAAACCTCCGTGTTGCTCTTTCCCGGCCAGGGCAGCCAGTTCGTGGGAATGGGCCGCGGGCTGCTGCGCTACCCTAACGTCCGCGAGCTTTTCCGCGTGGCCGAGGCCGTGCTAGGCTACGACCTGTGGCGCCTTTGCCAGGCCGGCCCCAGCGATCAGCTGCACCGGACCGTGCACAGCCAGCCCGCCGTCTTTGTCTGCTCTTTGGCTGCCGTGGAGAAGCTGCACCACCAGCGGCCCTGGGTGAGGAAGGTCTCTTGCGAGGGCGGCCATGTGGGAGACTCCCAGCCCCCGAAGGCGAGGAACGAAAAGAAGCCGAAGTCTTGGGGAGGGGGAGAGAGAGAAATAGACCATCCCGGAGTCTTTCGAGCAGCTCCATTGCCTGGGATGGTCTCAGGATCCCTGCCCAGGGCAAGGGGGCTGGACTAGAAGACCTCCAAGGTCCCTTCCAGTTCTAGGATTTTATGCTGTTGCTGCGGCAGAATCCACCCAAGTTGTTTGATGGGGGTTTTAATGACGTGGGTTTAAGGGAGTGTTCCCCCCAAATCCATCCCTTCAGCGGCTAAAGTGAGGCATGCAAAATAATCTTTTCTTTGGGAGGAGGAGGAGAAACCATTGAGCCTTTGGCACCTTATTATCTCAGCCAAAAATCAGGATCCTCCCTGCAAACATGTGAAACTGCTTAAGGGTTAATTTCTGTCTTAGGGAACTTGCTGGTAAACTCTGAAGAAGCAGATGAGACAAACTTGGATCCAAGCTGCTTGGGGAATATCAATCAAAATGGTTTAAAAGGCTAAGATCAATACTATTGCCATCCAGAAAGAAGCTGTAGTATCTGGAAAATAAGCCAGATGAAGTGGTTGAGAAACCTAAGCAAGCGTTCTCTCTGGAAACAGACAATAGCAGCTAACACATTACAGAAGGTCAGCCTGAGAAACTTAACTCATGCTGCTGGAATATATTTATTCTTTAACTGTCTTTAATAGGTGCAAAAAATTGGAATTTTAAAAAACTTTCAAAACTCTATGGCAACCCCCGATTTCTTAAAATTGCAACATAAAAGCTGAATGACTTACCGGTAGTTCTTGTACCACTTGTTCAGCGACCATTCAGTTTCCACAGCCTTGAATGAGGGATACTTATGATACCCTAGGTCCTTGTAGTTGTGGCTGCCACAATGTCCCCTGGATCACGTGATTGTAGTTCAGCCACTTGAAAAACAGTTTGCAATTACAATGCAGTATCCACAGTCACGTGATTGTGATTGCTGTTTGTGAGGAAATGTGAATCAGGAAGCTGGCAGAGATTGGTAATCACATGGCTGTGGGATGGTCCTGGGAGAGTCACACTTTACAACAGTGTTGATCAATAAAAGTTGCAACTCCCAATTATAATTGTTAAGGGATGGCTACCTGTATATGATAAACAGCTCTGATTTGGGTTTATCTGAGTTTATTTATTTACCTGCTGTTTGGTAAATTGTATAAATCTGTATTTTTAGAAAAGAAAATACTAGCCCCAAATCTGAGAATCTTTGAGCTCAGAGCTGAAAATAGAAATTGGAAAACTCTACTGGACAGTTACAGAAGATATTTTATTGTCATTTTCACCTATCTGAGACTAATGGAGAGGGAAAAATGCTTCTGGGCAAGATTTAAGTGCTATCCCATAGATGCTAAAGCATAAAGAAATAACTGGACATTCTCCTGTCAGAGTAAAGCATTCATTCCGTAGTGTTTTAAGATTAGGCAAAAAGCTTGTTTGCTTTCAGTTTAGAACATTTCTAGAAATTATACAGTTTAGCTTTCTGAATACGTGAGATCCTAAGAACTCTCTGAGCTTGGTAGTTTTCTTGCAGATATTTCCTTACTAAACTGTATGACATCATCAGTGCACTTCTGAACATGTTTTCAAAAGTGAAATTTTTAATTTTTACAGGTACTTGAGAGCTGTGTTGCAGCTGCTGGATTCAGCATTGGAGAATACGCTGCCCTTGTTTTTGCAGGAGCCATGGATTATGCAGAAGGTATAAAGCAAGCATCAGTATACAGAAATATTTTATTTTTCCTTATTGTAATGTTGGGATGCACAATTTTTGTTCAGCTTAGAACTATACCATCCTGAACAACATTTTGACACTGAATTAAATATGTGCGTTAAAGGAGTGCACATGAGGAATAAAAATTCTTCATATTATGAGGAATAAAACATTTGATTATAATTTTCATAAAATACAAAATATGTGAGTAAAAAAATTCTTGATTAGCAAAAATAAGAGGTGGCAGAATGAGGGAGGTGGTAACAGTATCAAGAGGATACTAGAACCACCATATGCCCTACCAGGTTACACATCTATGGTTTAATATATTTGTGATATATTTGTTGATTCACATATTTCTTTTACAAATCGATCATGTACAATAATCCTGATTTACTTTTTCCAAGAACTCCAAAATGGAATTTCATATTTACTAAAGTTAAATAAGAAAAGTTGCCTATGATTACTTTTGTTGAAAAGTGAAACTTATTGCAGAGTTCGCTTGATGAAAAAAGCTGATGTAAAAGTGAAGCCCAGGAATCATATAGTTCATAGGCCTTACACAGAACATCTATGAAACCTTGCATCCATTTGGTACACTTGAAATATATAAGCATTTATTTTCAGTACAATTGTGCAGTTTTGCAAAAAAAATACTGAATATATATTATGTTAATATATTTAAAACACTGATCTTGAAAAGCGGTTCTTGTAAAATTTTAAATTTAAAGTATCAAGTATTTAGGTCAGATTTCTTGTAAAAAGTAATTCAGGTTGGACATTCTATTAAATTATGGTCTATGGTGAATCCATGGTTTAAGCTTTTAAATGTAAAGCTGTTCATTTTTTTTTTTTTTTGCTTCATGTCTTCTCATCACTTAGTTTCATTTGTCTCCAAAAAAGAGCTGTATTTTGAAGTAAAGATAACATTTGTTTCAATGTCTGTTTTGCCTAGTCAGAAGTTATGTCTGCAAAGCTTCCTTTTAATTCCTGTTTTTATTGGTCAAATTCTAAATAAATAAGTAAAAATCTATATAACTTATGCAAGCAAACATTATTCCAAATCGTAGTTTCAACTTCCTTTACCATGGTTTGGTTTTCTCAAGTTCTCTGCGCATGCATATGGGTATCCAATTAATATTTATGTTGGGGCTGCCAGTGAAACAGGCCAGGTATCCTTGCATAACCATGGGAAAGCCTCAGAACAACTTCCTTAGTGCTTTGAAGAGAGATGTTTTGGTTAGGCCAGCATTTTTTGCAAACTATCCTTGAAATGCTTTGCAAGCTGCAGCAATTGATAACCAAAGTGAAAGTGTGGGGAAATATGGTACTGAAAAAAACCTGAACAAAACATACTCTCTGTGTTAGGAAACTAGTTTAGATGGTCTTTAATATTCTTTTTATTCCTTATTTACTTATTATGATTTGCGGAAGGGAGACCCTTTACTTATATTGATATATTTAATTTCCTTGGATCTTTCTTCCCCAACATTCATTGTGATCCTATTTTCCAACCGGCATGACTTGGAGCCCTCTAACTAATGAAGTTGAGCATGCATATCCCAAGAATACTTTTTTCCAAAAAGCAACTACACTTTGTTTGTTTGTTCCTTGAAAATGTTTTGCTTTTCCTTCAAGAAACCTGTTCTGAACT